TATCCAGTTGCCCATCGGTTAGCAGCGACGCCTGATGGAGGGGGAGATCGGCGCGGTGGCATCAGCTGTCGCCCAGGGGAAGCAGGCGGATGACTTCTTCGACGTGGTCAGGCCGTGGCCTGCCGAGGGCGATGAGGCAGAATTGTCGCCGTTCGACCCGAAGAAGCCCTTGCTTCGAAAACTGGGCGCCCAGGTCAGCGCTTGCGTCGAGCTCTTCGAGGGCGCGGTCGGCGTCGCCATGATTGACTTGGCCAAGCAGTGCGAGGCTGACGAGATTGCCCCGGGCAGCTTTTGCCAGTGTCGAGGAGTGGCTCGGCGAGAAATGGGCCTGCGTGGGGGCCAGGTGGAGTGCGACGCGTCGGTCGAGACCGTCGGTCGGGACCGCGAACGCGGGCCGCATGGCGGCCAGTGTTCCGCGCCACGCCGAGCAGGCTGACGCCGCCAAGTTCTTCAAGGAGGCGTGCGACAAGGCCCGCGGAAAGAGGGCAGCGGCCGAAGGTTCCTCTTCAGTCTCCGACGCTGTGGAAAGCTCCGGCAGGGTAGGCGATTGATATCTCAACGACGGCTCCCAGAGACGTCGAGACCATCACGGCCAGGGAGGCCGAGGCACGGGCACGGCGCCAATCTGCACCTCAGCATGTTTTGATGCAGCACCTGTCAGCGGCTTCGCTCCTTAACCTCATTCGGGCTACCCTGAAAGAGGGCATATCTGGGTGGACGTCTGCGCAGTCTCAGGCTTTGAAGATTGTTGCGGCTGGGAGTTTACAGTTACGGCTGTGTTGTTCGGTTTCTCAAAACGTGTCTCATGACTTTCGAGAAGCGACTCGTCATTTGATGAGGGATTGTCTTGCCACCTGCCAGTTTCGACGCGGTTTTTGTTTCCCGGAGAACATCTACGGGTAAAATATAACCGCCCGCGCGACCCTGCGCGGCATGCTGCCCTTGTCCCCGACCCAGGGCGTCTCCTTCCCCCCCGCCTTTGGAGTGGGCGAAGGCGGGGGTCCAGGGCCCAGTTTGTACGTCCCCAGCTTCTGGACATAATTTCGGATCGTACGGACCCCCACCCCGAGGGATCAGGTGCGGGATATCAGCTGCTTCGGTAAATATACTGGGACATCCCGCTACTGTTGCTTATGGAGTTTATCCAAGTCGTGTGCAATGTATTTTGCAGCTGAAGTTTTTGCTCTTTTGGTGCATATTCGGCATAGCGCGCCCGGGTAGGATCGAAAGTCGTATTATTTATATGATTGCCAGAGGGTGGTGGATACGTGGCCCCCCAATCCGAGCGCGTCGTGCAATGGCATGTGCGCGCGCGCTGATATTTAGAAAGCCATTCGCGATAAGGCGATCGACGTAGGCTACGTAACCATCCGCATACATAAGGTGAAATCTCACGTGCCAGAGCAAGCCGACGAACAGCCTGCGTGGTGTACTCGGGCGAGTGCTGTTGCAGACATGTATGCTTAACGTGGAGCTGCGTTCCACGTGGTAAATGACGATGCCCTGACGCGCACCAAGCGTAGCACTGTAGATGTCATTATCATCGTTAAGCGTATTGCTCATGCAGTGTCTAACGCCCTGAAGTTGTTCGACACGCGTCCCTCCCCCCCCCATCCAGTGGGGCCTCCTGCTCTGGGGCTGGTTGTCCTGGCCCCTCCCCGGGTGATTGGCCACCAAGTCGCATGGGACACAAAAGTTGCGAGGTTTAGGTTCATGGCCTGCTGGGCATCCAGCATCGATAAATTCGTTCTTTCGCATGCGGAGTGCCGAGCCCCTGAGGGCGATGGCCATGTGCTCCGAGCAGGTGGGCAGTATGTATTCTGCCGCGGTTGTGGGCATTATAGTGCGACCAGAATTCACAATTTGCAGAAAGTATGCGTAAAGCGTGCGCGGGTTGATCTTAGTAGGCAGGCGTAGGCTTGCGCGTCTGATGGATGGCCGGGCCCCCCCGTGCAGATCAAGACATCGGGCGAGTAACGACCCCGCGTCCACAAGCGTTTGACGATCTCAGCGAGTACGCGGCTCCTATATGTATATCTCTCTGTTGCGTCGACATGCGGCTGAATGACAACAGTATATATATAGGTATATATATACATATATATACACAGATACCTATGTGTAGATGGCTCGGTGACGAAAGCGGGTACTGAACGCACCAACTCCGTGACATTTGGGAGTTTGGTATTGACCACGCGGAATAACTGCACGAATTTCCGCCCTGACGATTTCCTTTGTGGTACACCCGCAGAGGCGACTTCAGTGCCACAAGGGGGGCACGATGTTTCCCCCCAAACGTATTCATGTTGACGCTTCGGAGGAGGAGGCGGAGGAGGAGGAGGAGGAGTATAACATCGCAGATCACAATGCGCGTGCAAAAAGTTCCGCTGCCATGCGCTGGCCCTGCCAAGAGTGGCCGCAGATCGTATGCGAGGTTCGCGCAGCGACAATTCATGCCCGGGCGAGCGCTCGAGGAGGAGGTTGTGTTGGTCGCTTGTGGGGGTGGAGTATCCTCTGCGCCGACGCGTCGGTGTGGCGGCCCTTGGCCGACACCCCAGGCATTGTTTTAGTGCTTTTGTTATCGCCTGGGCCCCTGCCCGGGCTCTGCTGCTGCTCCAGCGCCTGGCCCTGCAGGCTGGACGCAGCCTGTCTCACCTTCGTCGTGTCGTCGTTTCGCTTTCTTTTTTGGGATTTGGCCCCCACGTGCGGGCCTCGCCACGTTCTGCGTTCTGAGTTCTGAGCCCTCCTCCTCCTCTTGCTCACCCTCCTTTTCCATTCCTGGTCTTGCTTTCCACCGGTCTCCCTCCCCCGTCGCCGCGCTGGGCGAGGCTACCACTTGTGCGACGCGGGCCTGGGCCCTCCAGGGGGGCCTTGGCTTCGGCCCGCCTCCCCCTTGGGGGTCTCATTTTGCCCATCGTCCGTCGGATCGTCGCCGCGCTGAGTTCGTCTTGAAAGTCTTGGAGGCGTCGGCTTGGGCCGCTTAGGGGGGGAGGCTTGGCGCGTCGTTGCATCGTCGGCCTGGCTGTCATCATCAGTATCATCATCACCACCACCACCACCGTCATCAGCAGTGACATGTTGTATAAGCGTGTAGCGTTGGCTCAATGAGCCGAAACACTTGCAGCTCAGCGCCAATCGTGCAACCCAGAAGCCTATGGTCGTGGAGCATCACCCTTGGCGGACAGTCCGTGCGATCCCAGGGGGGTGCTTTGCCGCGTGTTTCGGCGCGTAGTTGCTGCGATGCCACGCGGGAGCGCCGCGCACGTGGTCTTGGCCGTCGTTGCCCCTTTTCCAGGGGTTTGGAGCCGCCATGCAACTCACGAGTGAGGCGGAGGGGGGGAGGAGGGGGGGGAGGAGGAGGAGGAGGAGGAGGAGGAGGAGGAGGAGGAGGAGGAGGGAGGAGGAGGAGGAGGAGGAGGAGGAGGAGGAGGAGGAGGAGGAGGAGGAGGAGTGGAAAGGGTCGCGAGGCGTGCGGTGGGAAGCCCGTGGAGGCCTCATCGGAGCACATGGGCCCGCCTTCATCGCAGGGCGGCCAGGACCGCCTCCCTCGCGAGCTGGAGGCGAGGTTGACAGCTCCGCAGCCTCGCGGTCCATGGACTCTCCGGACGCAGCCATAAGATCACGCATTCATGGGGGTCGAGCCCTTGACGCCTTGGCGCCAGACCTCCTCGCGTTGTGAAGAGATCCCAGCGACTGGTTTTCGCCACTTTGGGCCTCTGGGGGACCTCGCTGGTCTTCGGGGCCTTCAAAAAACGACTCCGGATGCAAAGCTGGTGCCGGGAAAGGGGTCGAGATCTCGGGGGGTCGACGCTGTGAAAAAAATCACAGCTTCGGGAGTCCCCAGGCACCCGACGTCATGATTTTGTCATTACGTCGCCCCCCGAGGTCTCGACCAATTCCCAGGGATCCGTTTTTCGTCCTGAGTCGTTGTTTGACGGTCCCGAGGCCGGGCAAGGGCCCCCATATGCCGAAAATAGCGCAGAACACCTCCCGTCGTGATTTCGTCGTTGCGCGAGGGGTTCTGGGCTGGGGAGCGCGAGGGCCTGCATGTGGACATGTTCGTCGCTCCTGGGCTGCCGGCCGTTCCCGGAGCAGCCGGGGGGGCTGCCAGAAGCGCCCGGGCCCGAGGTGCCCCCACAGCTTTGCGGCTCCTTTTTGGGGAGGCCGCCGGGGCCCTCCGCTCTTGGGGCCAGGGTTAAGTCGGGCATGTCCCCGGGGGACATATTCGATCGAGAGTAGTACAAAGATAGTATGGGCACGATGTTTCTTGTATTTTTGGCCACTTTGGGATATGTTTGACTATTTCAATTTCTCTTCCAAAAGCCGCCTTCAGGAGGACACGCCCGACCGAAGGCCAGTGGGGGGGCCTCCTTGGACGTCCTGGGGGCACATCCATAGGGGCTTGTTTTTGATCGAGTCCCACGCGACACAACAACTAGGCTAAGCGTTTCGCCCCCTCGGGGCTCGTCGAGCCAAATTGCCGTTACGTTGCATACGTCGACGATGGGATCGGAGGTGGAGCGGAGAGATGCAGTGTACAGTGGGGGATTCAACATATCCCGGGGGGGGTCTCCAAAGACCCTGTGTTTTTTGAAGCCCCTGGGGGCGCTTCTGGCAGCACCCCGAACAGGGATTCCGGGTGCCAGGTCGGGCGGGAGGATAATTGGGGGATGCCCTGACAGGGGGGTGAAGATGAGAGCCCTACAGGGGCCCTGTAGGGCCGCACTTGGGGCCAGCAGGGGTTCCAAAGGGGCCCGAAAGGGCTCCTCTTGGGCTCTTTTCCTCGCCCCCCCCCAGTACCCAGACCCCCGACATCTTGACTTTTTGTTCGCAGCGTCGGCCCCCTTCCCCGGCACCAGTTTCGCACCCTGAGTTGTTTTTGTTGACGGTCCCGAGGCCCGCTCAGGGCCTCCGCAGGCCGAAAATTTCACCGATGTTTTTGTTTACAGCGCGAGGGGGTCTGGGTGAAGGTCGCCCTGGGTTAACCTGCTCGACCTCAGGGCGGCGCCAGCTGTGCCTTCTGCCACGTGTGCCCGCCGGGCGAGAAGAGGCGCCGCCAGGTGGCCCGCAGGTTACCAGTTTGGAACACATCCCTATCCCTATGTTTGGCATCACCTAACCTCGATACCGATATTAAGGGTTCCCTCAGTTTCTGAGGGCACACCCCTACGATTGTCATCGCTTTTCCCAGATAGCTCGAAGAGGATTTCAGATTCAGATGCCAGAGCCGCAGGGTAGCCCCAGAGGTCGTTTTGGCTTCCGTTTTCCAGCGTCGGCGCGAGGTTCTTGAGCCGGAAACGGGTCCCGAGATGCCTTCTCTAAGCGTTTCTCAACACGCGTGCCCGGAAGATCTCCAGAAGGTCCTTCGGAAGCTCTCTCCAGGTCCTTCCAGGTTCTTCGCCAGGCCTTTCCACGCCTTCGGGCGCCCTGCTATCTGGGTCTCGGACTCCACAAGTGGGCTGGCCCACCGTAGGGATGGGGATCAGTTCGAGGCTGGCTAGCAGGAGGCAGGCGCGCCCGGGGGAGCAGTGAGAGGGGGGGCCGCGCGCGGCCGCGTCCCTGGGCGGGGAGGGCTCGAGGGCGGAAGCGCTCGCCGGTGGCAGCATCGGGAGGGGACGACCACGGGGCAGAGCAGCGCACGCACGACGACCACGACCTGCGACGCCGTCGACAAGGGACGACGACGGCGGAGGCGAGGCGCCCTCCTCTTCCTCCTCCTCCTCCTCCTCCTCCTCCTCCTCTTCCTTCTCCTGCGGTAAGCCAGGGACCCCCTCGTGCTGTGAAGAAAAATCACGGCGTGAGGTTTTCGTCATTTTCGGCTTCCGGGGGCCCTCGCCGCGCCTCGCGACCAGTAGAAAACGACCTCAGGACGAGAAGCCCGCCCCAGGGAACGGGCTTGCGAACAAGTCGCGACGTTGGGGGCTATGGGTCAAGAGGGGATCACGCTCCCAGAGCAGGGCAAGGTACCCATACAGCTACCCTTCCCTCGATTTTTTTGTTTGGGCCCCAGGGAAGGCCCTCGTCGCCACCGCTAGACCCAGTTTGAAATTCCGGTCAGAACGCACCCCAGGGGAAGTCCAGGTAGTAGCAGTATCGGCATCTTTCCGTTTCCCCAGGTTCAGGTAGAAACGCATCGACCCCCGCATTCATCGCCGATAGGGGACCGATAGCCCGCCCCGCCCTGGACTTGCGGTTTCGCTATCGGGGGCCTATTGCCGATCTATCGGCGATGTGTCGCCAATTCCAGGGTATGTTTCCCCCCCCTGAGCCAGTTCCCATTTATCGTTTCCCCGTAGACATTTTGGCTCAAGGCATTGTGTGGCTCAAGCATCCATCATGGCGAAACATGTCGCCCAATCGAGCAAGACTCACGATGATCACAAGAAGCCGAACCTCACTCCCAAACCTGACAGAGTTGAGGAAATGTTCGTGGAGTTCAAGGGCCTGATGGGAGGCCTCAGCACCAAGGTCGATGCACGCCTTGCCATCGCTCAAGAAGCCAAGTCCGAAACGGTATCCGCGAAGCAGGCTGTTTTCCAGACGTCGTTGACAATCGCTATCCTAGAGAGCAAAATCAACAAGACCAACGAAACTGTGGCCACATAACAGCAGGAGGTCAAGCACATGCAGCGTGCAAATACCACCGCCCGCAGACACCACAAGGGGCGTGACTCAGACACCAGGAAGAAGCAGGTGCTCGCGGTAGGCTTCAAGGAACATATGGAGCCGGACCTCGTCATCGCCAAGATCCAGGCGATATTCACCGAACTATTGGGCGACAACCGCACCGCCAAGTTGGAAACTGGCGGAAACCCTGCGAAGATCACATCGAGGACGCATCTCACAACATCGACTTCTACAATAAGGCAGACAGCGCAGATCAAGGGGAAAGAACACGTAAAGTCCATTTCTTCCGAAACAACCTCACTATGGAAGAACGGGCTATTGACAAGTAACTTGGCTACACAGCGTTCCACCTGAACCGCAACGACCACGTCAAGGATGAGGAAATCAATATCGTCTGGCGGAAGAGCTTGGTGGAGGTTCAAGGACACCAGGTGGCATGCATCGACAAGGCCAGGGTCTGGCACACAACGGGAACAGCCACGAAGGTTGAGCAGGACGTGAAGGCATCCATGGACGCATGGAGGAAAAAGGTAGACCCCGACCTGGCGGCCGAGTCTGAGTGAAGAGATACCCTTCCCTCCCGGGAGCATGGGGCGAATCTGGCCCACAAGTTTTGAATTGTCACCCATCATCCAGAATTCATGTACGTAGCCATTCGATATTCTATTTCTTGTTCCCCTCTCTCCAGATGGAGTCCAGACCAGTCTTCCCAGGAGCGCTGAGAATTGTCAGAGTGCCCTGCAGAACAAATACGGTAATTTAATTTTGACCCCCCCCTCTTCATGAAGTCCGTTCTCAGGACCTACATCGTCAAAGCCAGCGTTGCGACCATTTTTCGGCGACGACGCAAGCATGCAACACAGGCGGTGGCAGAAAGGACTTTGCACATGCAGACGGCGACGTGCCACCAAGCATTTTCACAGCACGGCGCACCTTCGCCGAATAGCACCGACCACTGCAACCAGCAGCAACACCACCGACCAGCAGCGACCGACTACCACGAGCAGCCAAAACCAGCAAACCTCGACCGCAGCCAACCAACACTACCAACAACACTGACCACCGACCAGCAAGACCAGCAGCACTTAACCAAACCACCACCACCGACCATCACCGACCACCAGCGCCAGTAGTGGCACCGACAAAAACACCAGCAACTTCACACCTCCCAGCATTGACCAACAACGGCGAGCAAACAACGACTCAACGGACTCCAGACCAGTACCACCAGCAACACACAACAAATCAACCGCAGCCCCCAATCACCCCACAACACGACACCCGACTAGGAGCGACAAGCCAACACCAAGCAATCCAGACCAGCGCCGACCACGACCAACCACGAGCACCAACGCCAATTAACGACACCTGGCACTGACGAGCACCAACAACTCATGCGCACAACGGTCATTCACAAAAAATGCCCGGGCACTTGGGACAGACGGCCGGGTCAAAGATTTCACCGCACAGCTTGACGATGGCCTTTGGGTGGGTTGTTGTGTTTACCAACGAGACGTGGAGGACGACTACAACGGAACTATGGACAACCACGGAAGGGCATGCGTTTGTTGGGTCTGGCAATGACCAGGCGTGCCACGGAGTTGCTACTCGCATACACAAGCGTTGGGGAAAAAACAGAGATCCGAAGCCCATTCGCCAAGATACGCCACAATGTTGTTGAAAAGAGGGTGGTTGAAGTTGCACTTGGTGGGCGCGCATGCTCCGCGCCCCATGTGCAGCGACCCGCGCATTCAGCGTATGTGCGACGCGATCCACGAGGTTCACAGAGATAGCACCAAAGCACGACGTCATATTTTACTCGCTGGCGACTTCAACGCGCAGGTTGGGGCATCCCGTATATCAATAGACGGCGACGGCGACGACGACCTCATCATTTCCAGGTGCCTCGGCCGCCGCGGATATGGGATTGAAAACTCGAGGGGTGCGCGGTTACGACGTTGGGCTGCCCGAGAAGGGCTTGCATTTGCCGGCGCGTTTTTCTTCCCCGGAAACCTTCGCATAAGCAGATCGCATGCATCAGCAGCGACAGGCAGACGTTGCTCGATTCCATTTTGTTCGACAACAAGCTCTTCAAGCATTGCGCGAATTCCATGGCCGACAACGCGACCGACCAGGGATCCGACCACTGGGCTGTCATCGCTGAGTTGAAGATGCCAGAAGCAATGGTAACTAGACGATCGCGACGCGACGACGACCAATTGCAGCGCAGACATGCGTCGCCCAACGCTTCCACAAGGTTTTGAATGCGAGCGTCTACCACGACCGCCAAAGACGACGATCGCAAGCAGACGAATTACTAATCGACCCGCAAGTCTTGGCGAAGCACATCCAGCAAATTCTCGTCGACGCCGCCGCCGCTTGCGGCGCTGGAGCACCGCGGGCAGACCGACGATCTGACAGAGGAGCAGAGCATCTACGCATCTTCTTCGCAAAGCGACACCAGGCCCCAGACAACGACCACCACGTCCGCAAGCAACAATGCAAATTGATGCAGCAGGAGACCCGCGCGCAGAAGCTCTGGACACGACGGGCCCGTATAGGCAGCATGCTCGAACAGTTCAGAGACCTCGAAGGTGCCCCTTGCATCGAGACAAGCAGAAAACGGACTCCCATTGCACGCGCGACGGACAAAGGAGGCTCAAAACGCATGGCCCGGGTGGAAATTGCAGATGCGTTTGCTGAATTTTATACGATCATTTTTACGACGCAATGGCCGCGACGACGCAGCGAGAGCGACGCGGCGACGACCTCCCACCTTTCACTGGCAAAGAAGAGGAGAATGCGGTGGGGGGGGGCTCCGGCTGGGCAATGCCCCAGAGACCAATCGTCTACGAGCAGAAATGTTGAAGGAAGGCACAGACGAATTGCACGGCGCGCATCTCCATCTGTATAAAACGATTATCCAGTCCGGCGCTCCACCGCCATCCAGCTGGAAGACCACAGTCGTCGCGGTCATTCGTAGGAGTGGGAATGTAATACTTCCGGACAGCTATCGGCCCATATGGATGGACAAAAACAATAAGGATCTTTTCAGCGGACTTCTCTACGACGGACCCCAACCAACGCTCGACCAAGCTGCAGGCCAGGCCGGTTGCAGACCAGGACACTCGACCGCGGACCATTTGTTCGTTCGCATCCTCCGCGAGCGCGCGCACGAATAAAGCCATGACTCGTGGATGGCGGTGCTAGTCTGCAAAACAGCTGTCGACGCAGTCGAGCGCGGTAGCACGTGGGCAGCGCCGGGGGGGCAGGGCGCCCGACGAGGATGCGTCTGAGTACTCAAGCGGCTGTGCGAGGGACAGGCTGCCACCGTCAAGACTGGCGTCAGCAGCAGGTCTTTCAGTCTCCTCGGGGGAACGAAGCGGGTCGACCCGCTCAGTTCTTTACGTTTCAACGTTTTGCTGCGGCTTATCCTTGCACCATGAATCGCCGACTGGCAAAAGAAGGGCGAGGGGGTCCAGCTGGGATGTACCACTACCTGCGCACGCACTAACCTCCGCTTCGCCGACGACATGCTCCAGGCCAGCCAAGCGCCGCCGCGTCTCGCCGCGATGCTAGACGACGTCGCGCGCGCAGCGCGACCTCGCGGACTTGAGCTGCACCTTTCCCGAAGCAAAATGCTCAGCAAACATGGCGGACGGACTGGCAGGGCAGGCTCTCGCACCGCGCGCGTTCAGGACATGGACATCGACGCCCTTTCCCGCGATGGCAGCATCAAATACTTGGGCCAACCCATCAGCTTCCACGACGCGATGGAGAGTGAACTCCACCACCTCACGAGGGCCGCGTGGGCCACGTCCACTTCGCGCAAACAGGAGCCGACAAGCAAGCGCTACCCGCTGGCGCGCCGATTCCGGCTTTTCAATCGAACAGTAACACCCTCAGCACTCCACGGAGCAGAGACGCTGACGTTCACGGAACCTCTCCGGCAACGCCTGCGGCGAACGCACCGGCGCATGTTCCGCATGATCAGCAGGACACCAAGGTGACAGGCTACCCGCCAAACGACCCCGACGAGCAGCACCCAGGGCCACGCGGACGACCGCACGACCACCTGAGCACTTCAACAAGAAGCCAGCAGCAGCGACGACGCAGAGAGCAACGCGCCCCAACGAGACACGACAGACCCACACAGCGAGAGCAACGACAGCAACAATGACGAGGACGCGGTGGAGCCATTGTCGACTACATCCAGCGAGCCACGCTGCGTGCAAAGCAGCTAATGCAGCATCACCGCTTTGAATATTGGGAGATGATTCGCAGGCAGAGGTTGTGGCGCATGGCATCCAAGGTAGCCAGCCACGAGCCCGCCAGATGGACGTGGCGAGCGCTCCACTGGCAACCAGGAGAGAACTCACGCCAACGTGGCTGGAGTCGCCACGGCGGCCAGAGCAAGCGCTGGGACGACGACCTCATCAGCTTCCTCCGAGAACAACGACCCGACCTGCAACCAACGCCCACGCCAACCAATGAGCAGGGCAAGCCAAGCGATCTTATCTGGGTTTGCCCAGCTCAAGACACCTCAACGTGGTCCACACTCGAGCACAAGTACATCAGCACTTCGCCGACAGTCACAACCAGAACTTCCCTCCTCCTCCGTCATACCTTTTTCTGTGTTGCGCAGATGCATAACTTGTTGTACGCCTCGCAGTTTTTTTTGCATGTCTGCATGTCTAAAGGAGGCCATGGCCTCTTCCACCTGGTCTTTGCAGGCCTGGACAGATGTCCGATGTGGTGGTTCAATCTCTCGTTCGTTCGTGAGGGGACCCTAGGGCGGCACCTCCCTACTGTAGTTTGTCTAAAGTTCGACTCGAGCCGACGGACCTTCGACGCAGCGTCGACGCATGAGTGGAGCGAGTGGCTCCAGGAAGGGCCCCCCCCCAAAAAAAAACACAACAACAAGAAGCAGGGGGGCGACGAGGGCAAGGTGTTGGAGGACACGGCATTCGAGTTTTTCGTTCTGCCTCGGGACGCTTTCCAGCAACAACGCCTCGCCGAGAACGTTCCAGGGCGGCCCGAATCGTTCTGAATCGCCGGCGGACGCCCTCACGTCGCGAACAAAAACAAGACGTCGGGCGCCTGCCTGCGTCGCGCGCGTGCTACACTCGAGGGGCGACCTTCCAGGAAGGCGGGAGGCGTATTGGACGGCAGGGAATTTTCTAGAAGTCAGGCGATCGCAAATATGGATCAACGGGGCGTGGATTAGCGACGGGTCGCGTTTCATTGGGAAATCGCTGATTTCCGCCGCCGAACGGGGCGGCACCGGCCGCACTTTGGGGAGGGCACCTCCCCCGATCCATGGATTTGGCTGCCGCGCGCCAAATCCATGGATCGCACATCCACGTTTGCGCGCCCCCGATAGAGGGACCTGGAGCTTCCGAAGCCGAGTTCGTAGTAGCGGGGGGGGGGCTTCCGAGAGGCCCGTCGCCTTCTCAGAAGTCCCCCGCCTTCTCCGCAGGCCGCGGCCCTCGCGCCACCCCCCTGCGCGCTCCGCCAGCGCTATGATGTTCCAGCCTTCTGTAGCCTCGAACACCATCAAGAATTTCGAACAATCGGGAAGTACAGATAGTGTGTTGGTTCACGTGTCGGGCCCTGGGAGGCGACACTCGTTCGACCTTTGTTCGATACTTTTCAGGGTGCTCGAAATTACTTTTTGGGATGTGGTCCTTAAGTACGATGGGGGCAACATGACGCCAGCTGCTTCGCTCACCTGGAGCCCTTCCCCGCTTTCGAGCTGCGTGTGCGCGCAGATGCCGCGCCATTATAGTGCATGCTGCAATTCGTGCAGGCGCGGCAGGAGCAGGTGCCCCGCCGAATCGTCACGTCTGCTCGTGCGTCCCACCGTCGAGGAACGACAGCACATCGCGAGCACACACCTTTGGCAGTCCGCGCGGATTCCACGGGTCGGTGCTGGACCCCCCCCCCGCCACCGCCACCTGGCGGCGCCCTGGGCGCCGCCGCCCCCAGCGCGCGCGCGGGGGAGGCACGGCGAAGAGGGTGCCCAGCGTCGACCCAACAAATCCACGCGGAGCTCCGAGGGATTCTACTCGTGCTGTGGTTTTGTTTTGTCCACGCATGGCGTCGGTTCCAGGCAGGCAGGAAGGGGAGGGAGGAAGATTTGGCTCCTTCGGTGTGGGATGCTGGCAGGTGCGTGGCGCTTGAATCGAGCCTATTTTGCGGCTCCCTCGTCTCGATCCCGTGCGAAATTCGCCGGGATCTGTGCTTCTCTCCTCCTTCATTGTCGCCCCCTTCCTCGAACTTCAGGCATCCGACCTGAAGCTTTTGTTGCTCTCTGAACCCGAAAGCTTCGACCCCGTCGCCAGGACCGCTCTTGCTGCTTGAGTCGCTTCTCGGCGGCCCCGTGGCATGTCGGAAACGTGCCTCCGGAGGCCGCATTAGAAAAAGCACTGTGACGAAAACGTTCTTCGAACACATGGGGGCGTACCGGTCGGTGGCCCGCCGGAATCGTGCCCCCGGAGGCCGCCGGAGGCCGCACTGGAAACAACACGGCGATGAACATTGGTGGTCGTTTTTTATATCTTGTTTTGCCGATGGGCGTGGGTCTCCCAGCCCCCCCTCTCCCCCCCCCATGGAGTAGATCTTGGCTATTTTGGGCGCCTGTTTTCAGCAGGTGGAGTCTCCCCTCATAGGACTCAGTGCTGCAAACAGTCGCACTAAGCAGAGGTCTGGAGCCAGACCTCCCCCCCTTCCCCTCCCTTCCGCCCAATGTCGAAACGCCGAATCAAAAAAACGCTCACCTGTACGACGTCGGAGGTCTGGGTGTCACGCTGCTCAAACACGTCGGGGCTCCGTGGCCCGTCGGAAGCGTGCCCCTGGAGGCTGGACGGGAGAGAGCACTTCGGGAGCCTTGAGACGGGGGACAGTGCAGACTGGGGTCAGCCAGAGCGCCCGATCTTGCAGGATCCTGAAGGGCAAGGGTCGCATTGCCCCGGGTTTGGGTGCAGGATCCTGCAGGATCCCTCGCACCGACCCGGGTTTGGGTGCAGGATCTTGCAGGATTCTGCAAGGCCTGACTGACCCAGGTCTGGATTGACCCTGGTCAGAAGATCCCCGAAGCACCTCGATGTCAAGCTCTTCGAACACAGCGGGGCGTAGAGGTCACGTGCGCCCTGGCCTCGAGCTACATCGTGCCCCCGGAGGCCTCCAGTGCGGGCAGAGATTGGCAGCGTCGTCCAGAAGCCTCGATTCTCGGTAGAAGTCGGGCACGTTCCCCTACAGGCCGATCCTGGATGACTCATAAGCAATGGTAAAACAATATGGGAAAACCAACTCAAATCGTCACCATAATATTTTTTACTACGTATTTTTGAATACCCCTTCTGTAGAGGGGCACGCCCGACTTAATCCTCGATCCTCTTGAGCGTCGTTTGCTGGGGGGGCGGTAATCTGGTTGACGCAAGATGGGGTCCAGCGAAGAGAGGGTGGTGCAATAGATTTGGTGCAATCGATTGTGGGGTTGCCGTAGAGTTGGGGCTTGCAAGACCTTCTGGTGCGCTGGTGTGTCGCTTGAGTTGCTGGTGCAGTGCGTTGGTTGCAATCCAGTCCAATACAAGTCTCTGGCGCAATACATTTGCAGCACAATTGCCCCAACTCTATTGCACCACCGCCTTTCAGCTGGACCCATTTGGGTCAACCAAAGATTATTGGGGTGGCAGCGAGGGCTGCAGGAAAGTCGAAGGGTGTACCTGTCTCCCCCCCCCCACTTTATCCCCGCCCCATGAAGCGACGCCCAGGCAATGATTGGCAGCGTGGTTCGGAAGCCTCGATCCTCGATCGTCCTCGTTTCTTCGTCTGATCGTCGTCCTCCCCCTTCTTCGAATGCATGCGGAGGGCGAAGTTCCTGTGCGCCGGGGCCCGAACAGTCTTAGCGGGTCGGACGAAAGGGGGGGGGATTGGGCAGGGGGGGAGGGCCGAAGAGCTGCTGCATGCAGCTGGGTTCGGCCCCGCCGACGGGCGCCTTCCTCGACGCTCGTTGGCGACAATGGGGGCGAACAGTTCAGCGGCGGACATTGTATGTATTCGCCCGGGAGCCTCGCCGAAGGCATGGACCATTGGCGCCCCTGGATACAGTCGGGCCGAGGCATGTGGTCGGTTTGGAGAGGGTACCCTAGTGTTCTTCGTGTTCGTTGGATGTTTTTGTGCATCCTGGGGGTGGCACCCTCGAATGATCCTAGGGTTTGGGGCGTTTTGGCCGGCGGAGGGTCTCAAATTCTCGAAGGGCAATCTTATGGCTGAGGTCCGACTGTCGCCCCCATCGTCGCCCCCAAAACACACTGGTGGCGCTGTCGCCCTGAGGCGTCGGGCGGCCCGACCGACCCCCGGTAACCCAGCCTTCAGGAGGGCTCAAGAAATGGCACCATGACCTCGAGATCTGAGTTCCCGTAGAGGTTTGAGACAGTCCAGGTGAGCGACGCAACAAAAAAGAGGGTCGTTTGCGCCGACATTGGCGCGTAAGTTGCCCGCGTAATGTCGCGCGTAAGCGCCCCTGTCTACAATGTAGCGTACAGCCCTGGCGGCCTGCGTAAGCCGCCGCGTTAGGTCGCTGTGCCATCTCGAGTAAGACTACTGTTAACCCACGGCTCCAGGACCTGGGCAGGCGTCCCGAGTGGAGCCCCCAGGCCTCTCGGGGCTCGAAACGGGGTCGTCATGGAAGGGGGCGGTCTAGCCGCGCCCGATGCCCCATTTGTTGTTGCCCCCCCTTTTGTCGTCCGGCCCGGCCGTACACAGCCCCAGAGCTCCGAGGAGGAAAAGGTACCGATACCGCTACCCTTGCCTCGTTTTCCCCTGCCTGGGCCTCCTGGGAGGCTCTCGTCGCCACCGCCAGATTCGCCCAGAAATCTTGGTCAGGACGCGCCCCGTACATAGGTCTGGGGACTAGCTTAGAAGCCAGGGGAAGGCTGGCAAACCCGTGTCTGCTAAAACGGAGCTCCAGGAATTTGTTTCTTTCTTCCAGGAAGCAGCTTGTTTACTATTTAGTGCGTTGAGTTTATTGTGGGGATTTGTCTTTCTCTTCCAGGAAGACCGTCTTAGCAGCCACGGATTTGCCAGCCCTCGCCCAGCTTTCGACCCAGCGCTATCGGTGCCTTCTGGTATCCCGCCCGCTGGCAGTGGCTGGGGCCGGCCCCAGCAAACACCGCGCCAGAGGGCTCCGGGGGGGGCGTGCAGGCCGAGAGGGGTCGGAGCAGGAGCAGGGAGCATGAGGAGGCAAGTGATCGTTTTCTTATTCATCGTTTTGCCGATCGGCGCGGGCTCTCGCACCCCCCTTCCCTCCCCCCCCCCCTCATGGAGCAGATCTTGGCCGTTTCGGGTGCCTGTTTCGAGCAGGTGGAGCCTCCCCCACAGGACGCACGGCTGCAAACAGTCGCACTACGCAGAGGTTCCGCCCAATGTTGAAACGCTTACCATGGGAGCGGAGTACCCAGACATCCAGAGCCTCGACAAAATCGAGGCGGCCTGCCTGTCTCCATTTTCGGCAGCCGGAGGGCGGGTTCGGGCTGCGGGACCGTCAAACAGCGGCTCGGTATGAGTTGCGCTGCAGAGGGGCCCCACATGCGAAGTTGCTTTTCATGCTTTCGAATTGGCATCCTGCGAATATGTATTCAGAACATGCGAGGAGATGCCACCCCTGCCGCGCCTTGGGAGCGTGGGATGGATAGATACCGCACCCCTTCCGCAACCCCCTGTTGGCGAGCCACCCCTTCCACGCTTCGGAAAGTGAGACGGATAGAGAGTCCACGTCCCCCCTTTTGTGGCGAGGAAATGCCCCCCTGCCGCCCAATATAGGTGCGATGGGCTAATCTATGGTCCACGTCGTGCTAAGCTCCTTCTGATGGCGAGGAAAGGGCCCACCCCGTGCGCACCCCTTTCTGGTGGCGGGCGAGGAATCCCCACTTCTGCCATGCCCTGCACGCTGTTGCATGTGTATGCGTATGCTGTATGAGTCTGTCCACGTATGTGTATGTGCACGGTCATGGGCATGTGCATGCAAGGAGGAAGGATGGTTGGTGCGCATGTGCATGTGAAGAGGGTGAACGGAGAAGGAGAGAGGAGTACGGGTGCGTGGATGTCGCGGAGAAGGAGGAGGAGGAGGAGGAAGAGGAGCAGGAGGAGGAGGAGGTGGCCCCATTCTTGTCTCTCAGCACGCTCGCCGGCCGCTCCCTCGTCCGCGCAGACGCCGCGGGCCACGATGTGCACTCCCCCCTCTTCATGGCCTCCTCTTCAACCGAAGGAAAATTACTCCAGAGAAAGGCCCCAATCAGTGGATGGTTTGATGAATTGTGGGATGGAGAAGGAGATCGACCAGGAACCTGGGAACCCAGAACCCACCGAAATCGACCCGGAACCTATGACCAGGAACCCTGGAACAGGGAACCGGAACCCGGGAACCCAGCCGGCCACCAAAATCGGCGGGAAATGTTTGCCAAATCTTTCAATTGTTGCTAGGACCCCTGTAGTGCAAGCTCTGATTGGGGAACCTCGGCCTCCGACTCCGACGTCCGTCTTTTCCGCAGTTGTTGGCCTCCCGGTTTCCAGGGCCGCCTCTGAGATGCATACAGAGTCCAACGGCCTCAAGACGGCCCTAGTGGGCCCCAAGAGGGCCCCGAGGTCGAACGGGCTCAGGATCGAGAGTGGCCGAGCGGGCTCGGTTCCCACGACCTTGTCGTGATTCAGCCCGTTCGGCTGCCCGTTCGGCCGTCGAACAGGCTCAGACGCCGAAGGGACTCTGAAGGAAGCTTGGGGGTGGGGGGCGGCCTTCTCAGATCGCGGAGGGCCTCTTGGAGGGCAGGGGTCGTCTTAGAAGGGCGGTTGGAGAAGGCTTCTTACACAAAAGCCGAGAGGGCTGTCTAGGAACACCATTAGTCGCCTTCTGAGAAGCCTCGGCCTTCTTGGAGTGCCGCTCCCTCGCGCCACCCCCTCGTTGTGCGCGCCGTCGATGACCCCCGAGCCGCTTTTAAACGGTCTGCAGCAGATGGGGTCGGAGGGTGGCGCAGCAAGTTTTTCCCATCCCGACGGCGCCGATGCGTCGTCAGGGCATCGGCGATGCCGTGCGATTCTTGGACCACGTACGCGCTGTGACCCCACTTGGGAGGCTTCCACGTCTGGCCCGTGAAGACCAGGAGTTGCACCGTCCGGTGGCAGAATCGCCCAGCACCCTCGGGATCCGAGGATCTCACCAGACGGTCTGTCACCAAACGGTCGTGGGACCATGCGTCGCCGAGCGCGTTCCACTACTCGCAAAGTGCCTACTCGCAAACGTCCGACAAATACCTGCCTGCTTTGATGTAATGCATCGTAGATCCTGGGCGGGGGAGCAGGCCGTTTGCGAGTAGTTATTTTGCGCGTGCTGGAACGCGGGCCGCAGGCGCTCGAGACGTCCTCGGGGAGCGGCCCACGTCCCGAAGCGGTCCGCTCAGTACGAGCGGCGTGTTCTCCAGAGCATGGAAGGCGGGAGGGGGGAGGAGGAGGAGGAGGAGGAGGAGGAGGAGGAGGAGGAGGAGGAGGAACGAGGAGGAGGAGGAGGAGGAGGAGGAGGAGGAGGAGGAGGAGGAGGAGGAGGAGGAGAGAGGAGCGAGGAGGAGGAGGAGGAGGAGGAGGAGCGCAGGAGGCGGAGGCGGAGGAGGCGGAGGAGGCGGAACCGGGGGAGGAGGAGGAGGAGGAGGAGGAGGAGGAGGAGGAGGAGGGGGAGCAGGAGGGGCAGGTGGAGGAGGAGGAGGAGGAGGAGGTGGTGGTGGGTTGGGCCATTTCTCTGCGGCAGCTTGCCCCCCCCCTCTGGAGCCCTTCAGCTACAGCCTCGCAGCGACTTGCTCCCGGTCCGCAGAGCGCCCGTCGGGAGGAAGAGCGGATTGCCTTCTTACTTCGGGGTCGTCGTCGATCGTTGCTGCCTCACGAGCGGGGAACGTATCCACATCCTTAGGCGTTCGATCAGGGATCCCATGTTGAGCTCAACCACCCAGCTTCGGCGGTGAGCCCCGGGGGGGCGAAGTGAAAAGGCGCGGGCCTTCTGAGAACATGGGGACGTCCCCCAGCCTTTCGAGAAGTTCTCTGAGCCCTCCAACAAGGCGCAGAACACTTCTCAGAAGGCGCGACGGCTTCTGAGAGGCCCCGCCGCCTTTGAGAAGCCCTTCTCCTTCTCACTTCCCCCCTCGCTCGCCGCCTACATTGACTACACGTAAGAGTGACCTTTCGCCGGAGTGACCTTCGGTGCGGGCGAACGCGATGCGGTAATAGCTTTTGTTTGCGCGCTTGTGTGTGGCCTCAGTGCACCAAAGGTCATTCTTGCCCAGGGTCACTCCTTGCGCGTAGTCGACGACAGCTGTCTCGCCGACGATCGCCAGGAGCTGCCCCGAAGCCGCCGAAGACCGCCAGCAGAAATCCGGCAGACCGCCAGCAGACCGCCGGAGGCTCTCGAGAAAAACAACACAGCCGAGAGGGTGGCCGAAGAGAGCGCTGGACGACCGCCGAGGGGGGGGGTTCTCAAGAGACGGGGTCGTGCCAGTGCAGACGGTTCCACCTCCTCCTTTTCCTCCTCCTCCTCCTCGTTTTCCTCCTCGTTTTCCTCCTCCTCCTCCTCCTCCTCCTCCTCCTCCTCTAGCCCCTGTCTGTGTCGAGCCCTGATCCAGTGGGCCCAACGAGGGGGTCCCCGCTTTTGGCATCCCCACGGCACTTCATGTTCGGGAGGGGCCCTGCACCGCCCTTTCGAACGGCCCAGGTAGTTACATGTCATGCGCTGCAAGCTGTTCGGCTTCAATGTGCGCAGCTTGATCCAGCCGCGGCGGCTGGAGGAGGTCGCCCTGTTGGCGGGTGGTTTTCCGATCCACTTCCTCGTGGGCACGCGCGTGCAAGCGGTGCCGTGGGAGGCTGTGCTGCTGGTGTGTCCATCGGAGCTCGAAAGAGAGATCTCGGACGACGGGTGCATCGCGTCCTCCCTGGACCTGCTGCAGCACAGGGCCGCGCGGGTCTCGTGTGGGTGGCCACTGGCTTGTTCGACATCTCGGGCATCGTCCTCTATTTCCCGCCGCTTGGGCCCCGTTCTGGCACCGCCACATGGAGACGCACGGTCGACGTGCCCCTCGAGTAGCCCAACCACGTTCTCGACAGCACGTCAGAGCGGTCCACCCTTGTGATCTTCACGGGCCTGATCGACTCGTTCGCACAGGACGAGATGGGCAACCACTTCGCGTGCGTGAGGCCCTACGCGCAGTCGCGCATGGGCAACGCAGCCCGAGGATTCCGAGACGTGCAACACCGACATCATTTGGCTTGCACCATTACGTTTCGCATGATCGCGCCCACGTACAACGGGGAGAAGGCTTCGTCTCGGACCGATCACTACGATTTGCCTGTTGGAGTCCTCCTGCGAGTTTCTAAGCTGCTTACGATGACGAAGGCGGCGAGGCAGCTCCAGCTCTTCCCGTCCAAGGGGGTGCTCCGCGACCACTCGCCAGTGCTACTGGAAATGGACCTTGGGGCCCCGCCTCCCCTCGACACTGCTGCCGCGGCCCCGTGGAACTTCGACGCAACCGGGACGGCCTTGCAGACTCCTGGGCTTCGCGAGGGGTTTCTGCTGAAGGCCAGCGAGGCGTCGTCGCAGGGGCCCCCCTCGTAAATTTGATATTTCGAGAACAGCGCGATTGATGACGGATACGCCACGCCCATGGGTGTCCTGACCCCGACCGCCAAGAAACATGTCGGATGTGCTCGGCGGGCCCCTTGGGAGGTGCTCGCACAACATCGGGTCCGAGTTCGACGACTGCTTCGCGCGCGTGCCTTCGTGCGTGAAAGTGGGCAGCCCACGCGGCATCATGACTTCCAGCTTAGAGATCGCACCAACCCGATTCGCTGGGAGGTCAGGCGGCGGGCGCGGTCGCCCCGAAAAACTTGGGCCCAGGGTGTGCGTGATGCGCGGCGCAGGCGCGATCTGGCCAGCGCCCTGCATTTTTTTCAGGCGGCTGGCATGCGCTGGGCTGGGGCCGAAAAGTGGCAGTTACTCCCCGGTGCGCAGGCACGTTGCATCGGCTGACGAGCCCGCGTCGACGCTGGGCCCCCCTGTCTGGGAAGGCGGATTACTGGCGGCCCCAGACTCGGCAGGAGATTTTCTGGCACAGCGAGCCTCTTTGAGGGGGGCGCGGCGGGGGAGTTGGGATCGCGAGGCCTTCGTGGAGCTACGCGGGTGCTCCGCAAGGCTTCGCGTCGGCACACTGCTCCTGCCCGGTCTCTCCCGGGCGAAGTGTGGCTTCCGCTTTTGAAGCCCGGATATTGCAGGCCACGCCTGCCCCGTTTGGGGTCGGAGGTGCACCTGGCCCCCCCCCGAGAGGCCATCATATCGGGTTTGGGAAGTCTCGCCAAATGCTGGCGGGTGGCGGGGGGGCATCCGACTCGCGCGGGCATCTCGGTTGGCTGGCAGACCCCCAAACCCGATGGTGGCACTAGATTTCTGCATGGCCTCTGCCCTGAACGCCATTCTTGGGGCGCGCGTGCTGTCGGGGCGCGTGCGCAGTGCACGTGCGTGGCGCATCGCTGCGTTTGATGACGTGAAGAACGCGTTTGGCTCTTGTGATCACGAGGTCATGGATCGTGGATTGTTAAAGTACTTGCCAAGAGGGGGCGCAGCCCTGTACGGCGACAGGCGCACCGCGCACCAGCTTCGCCATGATGGCGCGGATTGCCCCGCCACCGTGCACCTCCAATGCGGGGCGCCCATGGGCGACCCCCGTTCACCAGATGAGTTTTGCGTCGGTTTTGCTCGCCCCCTCCAGCAGTGGCTCGGGGCCCGCCGGGTTGCCCAGCGCGCTGCGTTCCCGCGCGGGGTCTACGCGGGTTTGTTCACATATGTAGATGGCCTCGCCTATCTCTCGCCGCTACAGGAAGGGGGCTCTTTCGGCAGCCGTCGCCGCAGCGCGCGAGGCCCAGGGCCAGCTGGGCAAAGGGCTGGCGGAGTTCGGACACAAGCAAAACGCGAAACGCACAAGCTTTGGCTCCGCGCCTCTGCGGCTATAAGGTCAATTGCCAGTTGTGCGCGGCGGGGGTTGGCGGGGCCGGAGCGTTCCCTCGCGCGAGGCACGCGGGCCCGCTGTTTCTTCCTTCGGGCGTTTTTTCTCAGCTAGCTTTGAGTGAGCAAGCGGCCAACAGGGGGTGGTTGTCCGATCGATCTCCGTGGACCTCGGGGGCCCCTTTTCTAGGCAAATGGGGGTGGCATTCATATCTGCGGTGCGAGGTGCGCCATTGTCAGGACTAGCACCGCATCTCTTCGCGACCTCACAGGGGGCCGAGCTCTCCCACGCCTTTCTGGGCAAAACCAGATGCATCGCTGCGGGGGCTATGCGCGGCCGATCTGGAGATCATCCTGTCGCGATGGACGCCGGGGCTGCCTGGGGGTGGATGAACATTGCCTTCGATAGTTGAGTTGTTGATCCAACGCCTTCGATGGCATCAAACTATCGTTCGGTGGCCCGAAGGAGACCCCCTGGCCATCGCCTCCTCTTCGGTCGGCTCGGCTTCGAGCATGCCCCCGCCTTCGTCGACGGCCGCCTCGCCCAGCGCGCCGACCCGCTCGCCGTTCGTTTCGCCGCCGACATTTTTCAGCTCGACCTTCTGACGGATTATGAAGATTGCCGCTACACCTGGGGCGAGGACATACGCGCGCTCTTTCATGATGACTACAGATCCCACCTCTTTCTGGCTCTGACGTCTCTTCTCTGCGTAGGATATGGCAGAGCGTTGAGACTGACCTGGGCACCATCGACGTCGGGGGATGCCATCTCGCCAGCTGCGCATCCAAACCCGAAGACATTGGGCCCCCACGGCTTCGTCCACGCGCGCAGATGTACGACTGCTGATGGAAATGAATGTGGTGCGGGATTCTTTACACATGCTGTCCCCATTGCACGCCAGACGCACGCGCGGGGAGGAAGTCGCGGCGATTTCTCGTACTATGCCCGTTGCGTCGTCACGAGCCAGTGTCCAGCATGTCGCACCTCGTTCGCTTCCCAGAGGACAGCTAAAGCTCACCTCTCCCTTGCCTTCCGCAAGGGGGTTTGCGGCGCTCACAGTGCCCGCGCGATTCGTCCAGTAGTCATTCCCAAGCTCGGGTGTCTTATGCGTTGCCCATCTTCGAATTCTGATTTGGCTCAGCTGCAAGATCGCATCTGTAGACGGCACCTCCCATTTCTACCTTGGCGGGGAGGCAGCGACGGCGACGCCGAGGCCGACGGCGCCCCGCAAGCAGCCAAGGCCAAGGGGTCCCCGCCCGCGAAGACAGCGGCCGCAGGGGGCAGACGCCGCTTCCAGTCGATGGGGCCGCGTCGCCAGGGGGCGCAGCCAGCGGCGGCGGCGGGGGGCCCAATTGCAAGCAGCGGCGCAACAGGCACCCCGGGAAGGCGAAGGACATGGGCTTCGCCGAGAAGCAGGCCCAGTTCGTCAGCGCGCTGATCAAGCTGACGCTGATACCACGCAGATGGCGCGCGATCTGTGGGCCGCGGGCGCGGGCGCCCCCTTCCCGGGCGCAGGCCCGAGATGGAGGCGGCGCCGGGGGCAGGGGCGACATATTCATCAGAGGCCCGAGCCCGCGGCAAAGGCCACCAGCTCGGTATTCCTCGCCTTCGTATCTTCAACGGGCTCGCCAGCAAGTTGCTCGAGCGCGGGCTCGCGCCGGGCCAGAGGGCGCGCCCGATGCAGAGGGGCAGAGGATGGCACGTGAAAGTATGGCGCGGGCAGCAGCCGCAGGAGCTGGGCGACGTGCCGCGGCCGTTTCGCACCACGAAGTGCTTCGACCAGATCGAGGGGAAGATGCGCCTGACGCTGAGAGACGCGCCCATGCCGAGCGCACCGCCCGAGCCCAACGAGCAGCTGCTGTTTTCGCCCTTGATCGCGAGAGGACTCCTGCAGAAAGCAATCGAGGACATCGGGGGCCGCGGGGTACTGGGCGCGGCGCCGCCAGGCGCCATGGGGGAAATATTGCAGAACGCGGTAGCCGCAAGTGACGGCACATGAGAGGAAGCCTGCCTCGAAGCTCAGAGCTGGGACCCCCCCGCCCCGTGGAGCTGCGGCCCCGCTAATTTGGGAGGCGCGTCGCCGTTTTGCTGCCCGCGCCGAGGGGGCAGGCGCGCGAGCGTTTTTTTGCTCAGCGGCAGGGGGCGCTCTAGCTCAATTTCCGCATCTTCCTGCCGCTGAGGACCGACCTATCGATCGACGGTGCGCGCTGCGAGCCTTTCAGTGTCGGCTGCCCGCCGCCTCGCCTTCGTTTCACGCAGCCGCGAGGTCCGCCCCCCCTGTTGGCCATGTATTCAACGCCCCGCGCGGTTGCCCCTCGGGGTGTCTTGGTCTTCCCTGGGCTATGCTGCCCTCGCAGTCCTTGGCTCCTGGGTCTGTTCGTGCCTTGTGCGCCGGTGCTCGTGACCCTGGGGCTCAGCCTTCAGGCCCGTCAGGGCCCCCTGGGCCCCTTCCTGAACCGCATGACTTCAAAGTTGTCCGACGTGTGCACTCTTCCGAATTCAACGCGCCTGTGCGTGTTCACTTGAAATCCCACGAGCTTCACGCGCTACTTCCATGTGCGAGCATGCCGCCAGCTGTCCACTCCGCTCGGCATTGCAAGGGCAAGGGGAGATGCGGGCCCGCAGTCGTGTCTCACTGACTCCTCCCTCTCCTCCTCCCCCCCCATCCCCCCCCTCCCCCTCCTCCCCCCCCCCCTCCTCCTCTTCCTCCTCCTCCCCCTCCTCCTCTTTTAGCCCTGGAGGGGCGCCCCCAGAGTGTCGGGCCAAGACGCTCCCTGGCGGAGGCGGGGGCCGTCGGGCCTTCGGGGCGCAAGCCCCCGCGCTGGGGCGGCCCCCCAAGCGGGGCCCCCTTCCCAAGGGCCCTTGGCCACGCAGCCTCCCGCGGGATTTTGAGTTTCAGCCAAGCGCCACCCGTGGGAGTCGTGTGCCTAGGGTCTCGCCCCCCTCCTCCTTCCGCCGTCGCCGTCGCAGGCTACTTGGGCACAACTGTGCTCCTGCGCTGCCGTCGCAATGGGGAGTATTGTTGGGGGCACCTTCAGGTGCGCATTTGCAGGTGGGAGGAGAAGGGATGATCTTCATGATGCCCGCCTGGGTGCTCCTCGTTGGCCCCCGCCTGTGACCGTGACTTCCAGTGCGCTCTACTTACTTCGCACGCGCCGAGGGGAAATGGGCTACCGCGCGGGATAGAGTACAGAGACATCGCGTGGCGTGGAGCATTTCTCGTGACGACCGATAAGTGAGTTGAGTGGCAGAGGGGGGCGCGGAATTCAACGTATAGAAGTAGCGAGAGCCGCGCCACCACCACCGAACAACAGTTGAGGGTACTCCGTCTCTCCCCTCTCTCCTCCTTTTGAGGTCGCGTCGTCGCCTCCTCCTTCCCATTGGCCCGGGCGCCATGCCAAGCCCGCGCGCCCCCCCCCGCAAGGGCGCGCGGAATGGCCAGCAGCTGCTCCCCCCGAGCTGACCCGATGGGACTCGCGATGTAAGATTGCGAGCCTTTTTTTACGAGGCCACCTCGGAGCACGGTCCTCGAGCTTCGGGGCATGCCCCCTGCCGGCCTCAGTGAGAAAACAGGGCTGTATCACAACCGAACGCACGGGATTTCGGCAATCGCGCG